TCCCCAGGGATTTAATTTACACAGTAAAACTTCTGCTGCGAACAAGAGCACTGATAATTAAAATATGTTTTCAGGGAATCATCTGTGAACAGGCCAAGCAGCTGGTTTTGTTACTGTGCATGCCCTATCCTGCAAGTGTCCAGTTCTCCCTCTGCCAAGCCTCAGCAGAGATGCACCACAGCCATTCCCTCTGTGCTTCTCACCTGTCAGGCAGTTTGTAGGAATTGAAACAGTTCTCCCAGCAGGTGACAGAACTTAGAACAGGACACAGGGAAATTAAAACACAAAATTTAAGAGGCTACTGGCCATTTCTACCAGGCAAGTCTGCTAGAAACAGCATTATGTAAAAAAAAGTATGTAAAATTTGGATGCCTCTGGCCCAATCTCATTGTAAATATCACCAGCATATACAACCCTATTCTACCTTCGTCTAAAATTCAAGATATGGATGACTCTATTTCCCAATCTGCAGACAATTGCTGACATTTACCACTGCTTACCCAAGAGCTTTTTAAATGTTATTGACAAAACATAGATGATTTTTGTACATCTTTTCCATTTTTTCTACATCTCTTGGAAGCCATTCTGACTAAGGTACCTCATAGTTGAGCACAAAGAGTCTGGATGGTAATTAAAATACACAGAGCGATTCTGCCTGCCCCTTCATCTATTCAGGTCACAACACAGTCATTAAAGAAAACCCAGGATTCATAATATGGATTATTAGCAGGCAGCCATTCTGCTTAGCCACCTTTTATTATAGATCATTATTTTAATGCTGATTTAATCACACCTAAATCCTATGGGGCTACTTCAAAATCCTGTCTAAAGTGGAGACATAATTTCCTCTTAAATAGTTAATCAATTTGCCAATATTCTCACCACGTTCATTCCACTGCCAGTGAAAATCTTGCCTTGCTTGTTCAACTTTAATTCTGTAAGAGCTGTGTATTACATTTCAGCCCCATATAAGTAACATACAGGAGCAGAACATGTTTTAGACAATTAATGCTTCTGTAACCAGAGTTGCTGAAAAATATGCATCAAATATTTATATAATTGGCTCTCCAGAGAAGTATGCCTCGTTCTGAGTGCTGAGAGACTGAAATACAAGGTCCAAAGACATAGAGCACAAAAGACCTCAGTCTTTTTCCAATGCTCCATTGCTCTGTATTCTCATTGGCTTCAGGAGGCATTCATTAACAAGCAATGTCCACACTGAGTGCCTGCAAGGTGTCTCACATGTACTAAGGGCATGAGATGTTTTCCTTGGCGTATCCACAGAGCACATTGACAGATTTGGGAAAAAAACTTTTTTTTTTTCTTCTTTTTTCAGGCTTTTAATTACTACTGAATTAAGCATTATACCTGACATCATTTTGGCTACGCTTTGTCCTTAACAGCTGACAGGAGACAAGCCTTCCCCCACTGACAAATTTGGAGCACCTTAGTGAAACAAAACTGCATTTTAACCCCATAAATAAAATCTACTGCTTCACTAAGCTTTTGTTTGTCTCAGGCTGGGGAGGTGTTGGGAGGTTTTTTTGGCTGGCTGGGTTTTTAAGTTTACATGGGATTTTCTCCAGAAAAATTAAAAAATATGCCTTGGAATACCAAGCAGAAAAATCCAATCACAACCTCCATCATCATTAACATGAGCATTGAGGACCTTAAGGACTTCCTTCCCCTCAAGTGTAATGTAATCAAGGGAGTTTAGCGAGACATACTTCAAACAATACTAGCTCAAAAATTGAGGTTAGATGAGCTTCTTGAACGACAATTTACACTTTGGTTTAGATTTGTCATCATCTTTCACTTGAAATAATATTTCCTCTCCCAATTGCTATTTAGCAAAATGCATTTCACTTCCACTGTGCATGAAAACAATCCAGTTTTGTCAGAATGCCAAGGCACATCTCCAGTGTCTTCTTATTCCGTATCTATTATGCCTTACCATGGATAATACTAATTGAAAATGGTGTATGTTGCATTTGCAGTTATTAAAGCAACAGTAAAATTCAAATTTAAGGGAATGAATGGTTTCAGATTAGGTGAAACACAATTATCAGTTTCCCTAGGAACAAATAACAAATAAAAACAAATCAAAACAAAGAAAAACAAAGCAACAACACAGATAAAGAATTTTTTTTAAAAAACCAAAATAACTAGAACTGCAATGTCTATGGTATTTATTACCCTTCCTGGGCAACTTCATGCCCAAGACTGTCATTGTGCACTTTCTCTTGGATGTACAAAATATTATCTCAGTTTAAAAACAGGAAAACAAACAAAATAACAAAACAGGAAGGTTGCATTAAGCAAAATAAAAGTTTTCCTGGGGGACAGCAATAATGAATGATAGAAAGTTATTAGGAAGTTGGAAATGTAGTCAAAAATTCCTCGATTCACAGATAATAACTGGGTGAATGGAGACAGTCCATAGTCTTGCCTATTTTCCACAAATTCAAAAACAGCAATATGCCTTCTTCCACATATAAACCTTGCACCTTTATTTTTTCTTGTCCTCTTCTTTTACTCATTTGACAATATAAGTGGGAATAGTGAGAATACTGAGAAATAGTGAGAAAAGGGAGAAAGGTGTTTATCCCTAGTTATCAAACACATAACAATCATAATAATGCCACATGTTAGCAAACATTAACATCGTGGAAATTCACACTTTTCCAAAAATGACAGCTGCAGAAATAAACATTTTTAAATTGTTGGAACTCTATCTTGTGTTCCTAGAGATTAACTTCCTGATGTCTAAAATGTTTCAGCCTACAAAAGCAGCTTCTAGAAGAAGCCCCATGTCCTGTGAGGTTGGTAGACCCAAACCACTCCACAGTTCTTTGATTCAGGACATCTCATAATTTTTTAATTACTGGATTTTCTTGCAAAACCATAGGAAGATGATGTAAGGCAGAGAAACCAAGGCCTGTTCTAAACCAAAGGTCCAAAAGTGGAAACCCTCTAATATTTACCTTTGCAGCCAGATCAGACTTATCTTAAAACCTGGTCCAGAGTATATATTAGAGAATATATCTCAACTTCCAATAGTATTATATGAAAAAAATCCATTTCTTACATTAGCACTAAAACAAACAACAACAAATGAAAAAAATCTCCACCAAACATTCAGTTCAGCATTATCCACTGGAAACGTAGTTGAAAGTCCGCTGTGCTATACAAAAATACAAATGCTGCTTTAAGGCTGTTCTCAGTTTGATGAATTTGTAGACACATCTTTTTTCCCAAGACTAAAAGCAGAAGTTTTTCTCATATCAGCCCAACACACAGTTTTAATCCACATATAAGGACAGCTGTGCCTTTCACATGTGTCTAATCAGCATTTTCTATGAAATTCACAGCAAGAAAACAGGCAGAACCTTCAGCATGTTCAACAGGAGTTAACTAACAGACAAAAAAATCAGTGAAGTGAGAAGAAAGAAAGGAAGTAAAAGCCACAGGTTATGGGCAGGAAAGAAAAAGGATAAGGCATAGTCCTTCCAGTCTGTTCTAGTTTCTCAGGAGATTCTGGAAGGGAAAACACTTTCCCCTTTTGATTAAACAGCTTGTGTGTTGGGGAAGGACAGGAAGAGGAGTGGGGGACAGGAGTGACACCATACATACACAGAAGTGATGGAATACTTTTTTTTTGTAATTCTCAAAATCAATTCTTATTTTCCATAAAAGAACTGATCAACAATTTCCTGTGAACTTCCCAGTTCATTTACAAAAATCTTTTTTCTCTTCATAGTGAAGACTGTGACAAAAAGGGATTTTTTGATCAACACTTTACAACATCATTTATCACTTTATATATTAAGAACATGTGTCATCACTTGGAAGGAGGACAAAATAGAATTCGTATCCAGCTGGACTTAGTGTAAGTAATGAGTCAAATAATCAAATCCAAATCTCCTGCTTGACTTTTTGGGTTTTGATAAAATTCAGAACTGAAAGAGGTCTCCTAAAACAGCTGTTCTCCTGGGTTTTATGCAATTTGGTTGTAAAAATCATAGCACTAAGATGGTCATGTACTGAACCATAACTCCAGTGAACAGCATAAAAGAATCAGGATCTGAGATCACTTTTTTTGCTCAGTGCAAGGGTGCCTTAGCCAGGCTATGCAGTGAAATACAACCCAGAGCCACCTGCAACTCAGAAAGTTAAGCAAGGAAAACGTTAAGAGTCAAAAGACTTTTCTATTTCTTTCTACCTCTGCCAATGATTTAACATGCATACACTATGCCAAGCCAGTCAGCCTCAAATTTTCAGATTTAGTCTGTGATTTGCTCCACATTTTGGAAGTGTTGACTGGTTGCACTGGAAGCAACATGAGCTATAAGTTCTCAGCATGTACAAAAAGGATCTCTAAAGCTCTCAAATTTGGCGTCAAGAACAACAGAACACCTAAAACCAGAACCCAGGAGGGATTTCCCTTCATTGGATATAAATATCCATGGCTTTCAAAGGGGCAGAGAGAGAGGGCATAGAGCTCAGTGCAACAACATGGATTTGGAGGACCTGTGCTCAGCTGACTGAGTGGCAACAGCCAAGTGAAATAGCCACAGCTCCCAGATGCCGTGAGCATAGTGTCATGCCAACATCACACACATGGGAGAATAAAAACATTACAGGCTGGGATCTTCTCCTGTCAAAGAATCGGAGCTGCTCATTCCAAGGGTGGAATGAAGGACACAAAACTTACATATGGCTGAGAAGAAAGCTGAGAGTCACACTGAAAATATTGCGAGGAAATACGAAATGTCTTAGCAGTGTTCCAGCAAATTGCTTAAGTGATACTTTCTTCATTTTAGCAATGTTCAAGTTGTTGGGGATTTTTTGTTAGAAAAGTGTGTCTGCTGCATACCATAAGAAAATTTAGATAAAGAAATACATTTTCACCTGAAGTAAGACTGATATTGCTGCTCAACACTACATTAAACAACAGCAGCCACCATGTCTTTCCCAGGCAGAAAAGACCAAGCAACACATACACCTTAGCTTCATACTGTATTTTGGGCATCCAAAGCGGCCATTATCCATCAGGACAGCCAATGCCACATATGAGGAGCAAGTCTCCCCCTCTTACCTCAGGGTCTTTCTCGAGCTCCAGCCCTGCTTCCAGCAGGTTGTGTTCATACTCCTCCCGCTGCAGCCGCCTCTCCTCCTCCAGGGCGTCCAGCGGGCTGAGCTCCACCACCTCCAGGCCCGGCAGCCCTGGCCACTCCCGCAGGGCATGCTGGCCATCGTCCTGCTGCTGCTGCTGGGGCTCAGCACGGCCCTTCTTGGTGCCTCCATTCGAAACCAGGGCTGCAGAGGCAGATCCATGCCTCAGCTCCGGGGAGGCTGTGCTGGGGTCGTGCTGGGCCAGGCGTCTGCGGTAGTGGTAGGCCAAGACATAGTCAACCTTCCTCTTGCTGTCCCTGAAGTGCAGGCCACTCGGGGAGGCCTTGTCCCTCACCCCTCCCTGGGTCGCTTCCAGGTAGTTGTTGATAATCTGGGAGAGAAACACAGGAGTCGCACAGACAAGAAAGCCAAAAAGCCCAGTAGGTGGGGGGGGTCTATCTCCGCGTGAGCACAGGAAGCCGTGAAGAATCCAGGTATGACCTACAAATATTTATTTTGCACACCAGTCTCACTTCATTCCTCCTCTGACCATAATCTAAACATAGTTCAATTTATCCCCACACATGGCATCCCTAGGGAAGCACAAGTACAGAGGCACACCCCAACACTGTCGCCCTATTCTGCACTTGCACAGACCAAGGGGAGAGGATACCCACATTCTGAAAGGGTACACAGAAGTGAGAATAAGGATTACATTATGGACCATGTGCTGTGGAGCAAAGCAGGCAGGGAAAGGAACTGAAAAAAGTGACAGAAGGGAAGAAATGATCTTAACCAGAATAGGAGAAATATCTTTAATGCAGTTTAAGGTCCAGAAGGGCAGGACTGGACAGAAACACTTTGGAAAATACCAGGGATTAGAAAGGAAATGTCCCATGAATGACCAGCAGTGCTAGCTTGTATTTTAACATATGAAAAGACTGTGTGACTGACCAGTAACACTGCAAAAGGGAATCCATGGCTAAAATCCTTCAAACCACCCACGTTACACTGTCAGCCCCTCAGACCATCCCTGCTCCATCATCTCCCTCTCAGAACCCTTCTGGGATGCAGCTCCTGCAGTAATCCTGCCATCACTCTCCAGCCTGGATGGGAATTCTGCAGCATTTCATGTGGAAGACTGGCACTGACACGTTCGCTTGCACTTCCTGCTCATTAAGGTAGCCCATGAGTTTTCCAAACTGCTTCCAACCACCATTTCCAGTACAATGCTACAGTGTAAAAACCTTCAGAGAGCTCTCTAGAGCGTTGTTCACTGGAATGACACCAGTCCTCCAGTGATGGGGAAAAAAGATAAAAGCAAGGGTCAACCTGATCCAAAGCAATCATCCTATAACCCAATTCCAAACATTTATGGTTCTCATAGGTGACTGTACAAGCAAAATCTTGACAGGTACCAGTCAAAGGTTTCTTTCTCTCTTTTTCTCCCCTCCTTATGTGTGTTGGTAGTGCTGAATGCAAAGTTAATCACTTGCTGTATGGCATTTATCTTGTTTGTTAACACAACACAAATTTATGAATGTATTATTATAAATGTGCATGTTATTATATTCATCAACACCACCAGACTCTTGTTTTTCATTGTTTTGCTTCACTTTGTTTTCCACAAAGTAGCTTTCAGTTGTCATGTCACAAAAAAAAAATAAAAAATCTTGGGTTTACATGCATGCTACATCCTTCATCCTGTCACAAAACTACCACCAAATAGGCTATTGTGCAAATCACACTTGCCACACCCTTCACATCTAAAGTATATATACAGTCCCTTTAGGCATATCCAAAATTACACACAGCACTGTGTCCTGGCAGAATATAAAACTACTTGTGAGACAGCATTTTATTGCAATTCCTCATTTCCTGATTGGATACATTTTTATGAAATACTCACGGGCAGCCCATGCAAACTTCCCGGATCCATCTCTGCCCCAGCGAGGAAAAAACCCGTGGCAGATTTCTAGTGTCCCTCCCAGAGAGTTTCAGGCTATACAGCACAGAAGGAATGATGTCACCAGCAGCAGGTCACTGGCGCAAGGCAATGCATTAGCTGGCTCTAGAGAAGATGAGCTCTGAGCATCCTCTCCTCCCTTACTGGAGAGTGTGGGAAGAAACAAGAAGCACAAACAAGAAGCAGGAGGTGGAACAAGGAGAATATAAAAATCACTCCAAGGTTTTCCTCTTTGTTACTGTGTGGAGCCACCTGCCACATCCCAGTCACCTGAGAGGGCACCATAGCAACACTTGGGGTTGCTGGAGTTACACAAGGGATGAGGAGAGCCAGCAGTGACTCCCTCTCTCTGGACTCTTTTCTTCACTCTTGGCAGTGAGTAATTATCCCCATAATTATGGGCGTCCAATTCACAGAAAACAAAACAAAATTCCCACAGATTTCACTAAAGACATTTCCTGCCCCTAAATGTACACTGCTTGCCTTACCATGTGATATTCCGACACAAGAAAACATTTTAGGGAGGAATAAAAAAAGACACAATTTCAAAAATGTTTCTGAAGAAACTATCAATATCTTTCTGTCCTCACCTCTCACAGCCACTGCAAAAGTCAGAAACAGTGATTTAAATTACCAGCTTAGGTCCTGCTTTCACTGCTTCTTAATGTTTCCAAGACAAGAAGCCATCACACCAAGGAATAAGAAAATGGGAAGGTAGGATCAACATTTGAAAACTATTTTGTTCTAGTGGTCTGATAGCAAATATATCACTACAAATACATCCCAAAAGGTGCCTCCTGTAATGACAGCTCTCCTCTGAACACTACAGTTAAACCACACTTCCACTGGGAATCAATCCAATACAGCCCCCACTAACACCTGGGCACAGCTAGCTCAGGGTTGGCACAGGCACACCTAATTTAGTGATCAACCTGCAGATCTTTTCTGCCACTGGGGGTAATAGCAACCCCCTCCATTCCTGCACTGAAGGATTTTGGCTAAAGTAAGCAATTAAGAAGAGTTTGGTGAGTTTACTGCAGAAATTAATTCTTGCTGTACACAGAGAGACAACTGAACCACCTGAGGTTGTGATATCGCTTCCCTCATAAAGATTCTTCTCCCTGTTCGGATTTAACCAACACAAAGGAGAGTGCACCCTGCTCCAAGCCTCTTCATAATCCCAAATGCACTTGAGGTAGGTCAATGAACATGAAATCCTACTTACAGAACTTCTGTAGGACACCACTGATGCTTCAAGAGCTCTACTGGTCGCGCTTTTGTGCCAGGAAGTCCGGTTCTGAGGAACAGTGAGGTATTTGCTGTTGTAGGCTGAAAAAGAGTCCTCTGCTGATTTTGCTGTCTTCCGTCCAATGAGAGTTGTGTGTGAGGAGGGTAGAGTAAAGTCTGAGAAGGAGAGATAAATACACAAAGCAGGTTTTATGCAGGTGGTTCCCTAATGGAATGGGGACTATTCATTTCTAGTGATGTGAACAGATCCAGTGGCATCAGGTAGAGGCACAAACTTGTGGATCATGGTCATTCTTCATAAAGTACTATTTACACATGTGAAATGCTCATGAAGTATATCTAAGATTATACCTACATGTTCTGGTCTCAGGGGCTAATATCTGGAATTTCTACACATGCTCCCCATTTCTTGTGTTTGACAAATTACACGGTCACAGTGCAGAAAAATGGAAGGTCTGGAATGGATGGAAATCATTACAAGAAAGAATCGTAAAAATATCCTGGGTTGGAAGAGACCTGAAAGATCATCTCAGTTCTATCCCCAGTGACATGGGCAGGGACACCTTCCACTAGCCCAGGTTGCTCCCTGCCCGATCCCAGCCTGGCCCTAGGCACTTCCAGGGATGAGGCAGCCACAGCTTCTCTGCTGAATCTGTACCAGGGCCTCTCCACCCTCACACAGAAGAATTTCTTCTGGATTTCCAATCTAACCCTGCTCTCTGTCAGTGTGAAGTGATTCCTCTTATTCTGTCCTAACCCTGAGGTTAAGAGTCTCTCTCCATCTTTCCTGTGGGCTCCCTTCAGGTGCTGGAAGGTCACAATGAGCTCACCCCAAAGCCTTTTCTTTTCCTGGCTGAACAATCCCAATTCTCTCAGCCTTTCTTCACAGCAGAGCTGCTCCATCCTGCTGATCCTCTTGGAGGCATCCTTGTTCCAACAGGTCAGTTCCATACAGACAGTAGCACAGTGAAAAATTCTGATAAAAACCAGTGGATACAGAAACTATTTTGACAGAGAAATGTTTCATACTCTTTCCCCCTCTAGTGGTGCCACAGCTGAAACGGGGTTGACGGATCCATACTCTCATTCTCTTGGGGAAGCTCTTACTGGGAGGGAAAAACCATCTCTTGGTCCTTCCAGCATTAGTGTTTTATACCCAGGAGAAGACACCCTGTACACATCTGCCCACACGGTCAGCACCATCACCACTACAGAGACAAAGCATCACTGCCTCTGTCTAGTCAGGACTTTTTTCCAGGAAGAAGAAATAACACCTCGCATCTATCCAGGGAGCCACCACATCCATTGTGTACTGCTAAAGTCTGGAGATTTTATTTCCCCTTCATTTAGCTGAGTCCCTTCTATCCCCTATACTCAGACTGAAAATGCTTCCCCACCACCAAGTTCTGAGAGGGGAGACAATGGAATGCTAAAGAAGGAAATGCTTGGAGGAGGGGGTCTGACCCCTAAATGTTATGAATTTTCTTATGTCTCCTATCAATACCAGATTAGGGTTCAGCAGCACTTGAACAGTACAACAGATTGACTCACCAGTCTTCCCTGTCTGATCTCCTGGGCAGACATGTGCTTGGATCACTTTAATGAAGCACATAATGATGCCACAAGGGAAACTCCAAGGAAAATAATTAATAAGCAAAGGTTTCATTCCCAAAGGCCACACACAATGTTTTGCCAGTATTTTCAGACTGAGTCTGGGATATCTCACAAGACCTTTACACAGTCAATTAAAGACCTCTTTTTCTTTCCAGTCCTTTTAACTAGCCTAGGAAAAAAAGCTGTTGTTCATTTATAATAACATGATTTCATTTCCATTATGCTTCCTAACCTCCAGAAACCATGTCACGAACCTGAGATTAACACTGGTAAACTGGTGAGGCAGTCAGGGACTCCCAATTAGAATAAGTTTTTTTGATGGAATTGCAGTTGCCATATTCATATCTGGAAGACTCCTCCCAAAAGCTTTTCATCTTCCCAAATTAGACCGATTGAAACAAAATGTTTTGTTTTGCATGCATTCCACATTTGACAGCTCTTGCCTGTGGTACAGCAGTGCCTCAGGGGTTTCTGCTTCAGATGCAGCCTGACCTCACTCTACCCTGTAAGCCTTTATGACATCTGGCCTTACATGTTCTCATTCTGTAAGAGTTCTGGAGGAATTAGTATCAAAGATAGAAAACAAGGGGTATGTGTGTGTGTGTGTGTGGACGGAGATCAGTGACCAGCTCCAGTTCCAGTGCCAATTTACAGCCAGTCACCACCTGCTCACTCAGCTCTCTGCACTCCTTTGCCTCAGCTTTTTGCAAACTTAAGGGTTGGCCACATGTGCAGCAATTGACCTCACAGGTCCTTGTCCAAAGTGCCACCACAAAGAAGTTGCACAGACTGCCAAAAGTGGAAGGACAGAGGGTGTGATAAAGGACAACACTGCTTGTAAAAGAGTCAGTAAAGAAGTCTGCCTTATTAGGAGCTCTGTATTAAATCCTGAGTAACAGCCAATTAACTGAGCTAAGTAGTCCAGATGATCAGATCATAGCACAGCTACTTGCAGAATAAGCTGCAAGTGGTTTGGTCATCCAGGGCACAGACAGGGAACTGTTTTCATTTATCTTCTTCTCTTTCCAGTTAAATATGAGAAAGAATCTACATTTCTGAAAGACGCCACAGTTAGAAGGATGCTCCTCTGCAAGGCTTTTCAAAACATCTGCAATTTAGGAACACTGATTAGCAAACTCCAACCCCCACACAGGGATGTAAAAAAACCTACTTGAACTTACTGTTTCCTTGTAGCTTTACTCAAACATATATCTATTTCAAAGGATATAAATATATATACACAAAAAGATGCAGCATGGTTATACATGTGCTCTTTAGGCTCTCAGTAAATAATGAGTTCTCTGTTCTGAATATAGATGAAGTAGCTCAGCTCATGCCAAAATTACGTCACATGCACATCTCCACCAAATTCAACACAACTACAGCAAAGCATGATTTCCTCCACTGTGTCTTCAAAACCACTATTTCAGTGCCTTTTAAGAATATAGGAATTAGACAGACAAGGCTGGCTTGTCCCTAATGCCACCTAATTTTCAGCCTGTGTGTTCAGGGCTCACACAGTACCTCTCAGACTGCAGGTAGAAAGGGCCAAACAAGAAATCCTGACTAATGCCAGACTAATCCGGACAGCCTGGGTGCATCTGCCTGTCTGAACCCCATGCCAACACTCAGTTTGAAATGTTCTGAGCCTCCAGGACACCGAGCAGGAGAATCTCTCAGGCAGGACTCAGTATCTCAGAAGTATTCCTTTACATTTGGCTGTACATAACACAGATATCCTTTGCCTTCCCACCTCCAGAATACAATTAGAGAGGAAATATTCTTTATAAAGAGAACCATCCAATTCTGAGTTTAGTTATGGGGCTGATTTTAATAGAAGCAGTTAAGCAGCAGGGGTCTAAACACCTAAATAGTTCTTGAACTAAAAAGGGAGAAATACCAGACAGCTAAAACTTAATGGTCAAATTCTATCCTTCTATTATTCAAACAAGGAGTTTGAAGTTCACAGCAGAGATACAGCCTCAGAAGCAATAAGATAACATGGAAACAACCACAGAGCTTTTAACTGTGACAGCAAAAGAACAATGACTCAACATCAGCACTGAAAGTTATTATAAACTTGTACACTAGGAACTCCAGCACAAAAGGTTTATGCACTGGCAGCTTTGCTTCTTTTTTGTGGGAACTGAGCGCTCAGGGCTGCCCATTTTCTCCTGGAAAAGGATATTGCTCACTACTCCCAGTTGCACTGCAATAAGGTGAAGGTAGGTGGAAACAGCAGAAGACCAGCACAAGGCATTTGCCTAGTGATTGTCTTTTCCACATGGATCACAACACTGACCCACAGATGCACTTCTGAGGCTTCAGGAGAAATGAACTCTGCATGCTTTATCTCTGAGCTCTCTGTATGTAACTAGGCTGCAGATTTTTCTTTTTTTTTAATGTCCTAAAAGAATACAGAGAAATCCTTCCAAAGTATTCCTTCCCTTGTTCTCCACCCCATTTTGGCCTATCCCATTCCATAGGCAGCAATAAGAATGAAACAGAATAAACTTACCAGGCGCGTGTGTTTCCATGTTGCCTGGAGGTTTGGCTGGAAGTTGCGTCAGTACTAAAATAGGATGTGGCTATGCCGTGCACAATCTGCTTCTGCACCAGCTTAAGGAAGGAACAACACCAGCAGCTATTTACATCCTGCCTTGATCCTGCTTTAAGCAAACCACAAACTGAAGCTAATTAGTGAGACCACCTGGTTTGGTGATTATCGTCATGGAGGGAGAGAGACCAAGCTCCCATGACCTGAGGGGCCGTGGCAATTCTCTGCTGGAACTTCAGCACCTTGTCTTCATGTTCCGTAATGCCACAAGAAGCAAGGTAACAAGAGGCATATTTTTCCCAGAAGGCAGTGGAGAGAAAGGAAAAAGGCTAGTGCAGAACCAGGGCTCTACAGCAGAGCCAGTTCTGTCCAAAGAACCAGCACTCAAGGATCAGGTTGTCTTGGAGGTGGTTTCTGTGGGGAAGAGTGTCTTTATATCTACAAAGCTTCACAGTGCTTCCAGGTAGGAGGTAAGTGTAGAAAGCTTTCTATAAGGCTCTGTTTCAAGTACTCCAGTTACCTCAGTGCCTGAATGCCCTGTCATTCCTGCATGAAATATTCAGGAGTTTATCTTGTAATCAACTGTCTAATCAGAACAGGTGATGGATCCTGCTTAGCCTTCAACCTTGCAATTTAAACAATGTATAGGGAAGAAAAGTTGTTGATGACCAATGCTATTTGAGAAAGGACTTTTGCTATCATTTGCTAATGATAACTGGAGGGAGATGTAACTAATTTGAGCCCAAATCTTTTCCCTCTTTTAACCAATTTATGATACTATGATGGTTTATCTACTGTGATGGGGAAAAATGGTTTAATTCAATGCTTGAATAAAGTCCAGTGGTTCTACGACCTTGTGAATCAGGACAGTACGCTGTGTCATGGTTGGCAAGGGTAGAAATTGTCTCTGTCACAAAGAGATGTGCTGGTGCACCCTGGTTGTGCTATCAAACATGCTGAATACATAAAGGGAGCAGTGCAGCTGTTGTGTCCCAAATTTGGGCTGGGTGATGTAAAATTTTCTCAGAAAGACTAAGAAATTTATATGAGGTTTTAAATTCATTAGAACACCCCACTCTTCTTGGACCCTACTTTGGCGTTTCTTATCTTCTGACCAATATATCAACAGATATCAAATACTTTGTCCTTTTTACCCTGCTAGTATCTTATGTTACTCTCAGAACATCTTTCAGAAGTTTTAAAAACAATCTGTTTCCTATACAGGGAACAAATCTCCTGCTTTCTACACCTATCTCAGGGATACGGAAATGAAAACTTTCTAAAGCTTTCGCTATTTTCCATCCACAATCTCTGCTGCTTCAACTAAGCTGAAAACCAGAAAGGCAAATCCTGGCTTATTCTGGAACAGTATAGGAATGGAGAGCCAGGTCCTGCTGGGATCCCTGTGGACTTATAGCTCTGGCTGTGTAGGTTCCAATTACCAGCTTCTATAAGCCATAAGGATGGGTGTGTTACAGGTAATACACTTAGGTCAGGTAATAAATAATATACACAGCAATATGAGAGGAAGCAATCTCCATCTACTTAGAATGGAAGTAGTCTATTTTTAAGACTTTCCAACTGAGAAAATCATATCTTGGCATCACTATCTCTCCTGAGGTACCTGGGTATGGTGTTAATTGATAATGCAGAGTTGTGATAAATAATACCAATATACTTGATTGTGTTTCACCTGCTGTAGAGGAGTGGTTCTTGCAAGTCTGTAAATTTAGCAGAGAGATTAGATGCTTTGAATAATTAAGGAGTTATATAAGACTCCTCCCCAAATCCATTCAGCATTCCTGTAAATCTATCCTGTGACACACTCAACAATCCAGTTGGTGTTCTGAAACAGTGGAATGTGCTCCTAATCATTGGTGGAAAGGTAAAGACCAAGGTAGTTCAAACCCATTAAGGCTCACAAACAGTATGTATGACTTAGGAAACAACATTCCTCAAAGCCTGGCTTCTGCTGGAGAATGCCAGTGGAGCAGTCAGATGTAGAGTACTGTGTGATGTGCTGGCACACTTAATTGTAGGCAGGACTGTGCTCTTCACTCCTGCCAGGGAGGAATGCTGCTAAAAGTATTGGAATTGCACTGATTGGATCTGCCTGTGTGAAATGCAATGAAACCTGCACAGAACAAGTCTGAGCCCACTGGGTCCTTAGGCAAAAGACAGACAGTTCTTTTGCGGCAGACTGCCTGAAAAAGTTTGATTCTCATGCCAGCAAGTCAAAGTCAAAAATGTATTTACCTCTTCAGCCTGATAAAGGAGATGGTATAACATTCCCTTTGCTTTTTCTTTCCTGCCAGTCTGTTTCTACAACAGGATTTTCAAGGATGATCCTTCTGGCCTTGCTCATGATGGGGGCTTGGAATACACAGGTAGTAGTCAGGCCTGAGTAATATCTAGACCACACCGAAGTCGCCAGAACTCCCTGCTGTAAGTAAAGCCAGTAAGTGCTCTCCTCATGGGCTGCATTGCACTGACTCATACAATTAATTATCTAATTAGAAGATGTGTTTGTAGCCACAAAGCCTTAGGCTGCAATCCTGTCAGCTTTCACAAGCTAAGAAGGGTCAATCTGGGTAAGGGCACAGAATGAAACAAAGGGACATCCCAGCCATGGTAAGTGGAAGAGGATGACATTTGCCTTTTTCTCCAAATCCATCCCTTCTCTCTGCCTCTTCTGATGTTGAAGGTTGCTATTCCTGATCTGCTGATTCCTGAATTGCTGAGCTTCAACTCCAGATGAACTGTTGACTGACCCAAATCCATCTGTCAGGGAGCTTAATATCTTGAGGCAGCTACAGGATGGAACTGGTGTGAGGGTGGAAGTAAACTGGTGACAAATCTACTGCAGCAAGTGCAGCTGGTGCCAATTAAAACTGGGTTTCTCTCTCCAGTGTTATTGTGCCCTATAGCAGAAGACACAGAGATGCATGGAAGGCCTGCACTTCTACTCTGTGCAGCAATAAAGGATGTCTTGAAATAATAATAAAACAAAAAGGGCTCACAATTCAGGGTGTGTTGAATCCACAGCTGACTGGCAAGAGAGAAGGAGCAGGGATGTGATAGTTTGGCATCTAGGAAAAAAAGTGGGAAATACCCACAAAAGTGACTCCTCAAGAGAGGCAGTGGGGAGTTTCTTCTCTGCTTGAGACCTGACCAATAGCTGGCCAGTTTGGAGAACTGACGGCATTTTGGACCACTGAAAAGTGAGATCACCTTTGTGAATACCACCTTTAAACCCAAGCCTGGGAACTTCTTGTCTCTGTCTCTGCCTGGTTTCTAAAAAAGGAATGCAACTTACCTTTTACATTCAAAGCAAAGGAGTTTTTGTTTGTTCCCTGTCCTGGAGTGACTTTATGATGCTTGCATCCCCAGTCGCCTGGTTTGTTACACATTAAAGTTCTGCACCTCTAAGACTGGCTCCGAGAGCGAAGAGGGGGAAGAAGAAACCACAGTTTGTGTTGAGGAAAACCATCACTTCCCCGCATCCTGGACATCCATCCGGGCCTGGACTGTGTCGTCTCCCGCATGGACAGAGAGCGGGACAGAGCTCTCTCCTTTGCTTTTAGTTAGTTTTAGCTAGATGAGGCAGAGGAGTTCCCTGGTTCTTTTTTTTCCTGGATCTGTGCAAACCTGCTCTGGACTGAAAACCCAGCCAAACCCCGGGAGCTCACGCCTGTGACTCAATGGGGCCTGGGCCTTGGCACTTAACAGCACCGGAGGGAATGATGAGAGACTGAGCAAGCTGAGCTACACCACATGAAAAGGACTTCTTCCTATCCAGCAAAAGTGAGAGGTTTTATTGTTTAATATTATTCAATTTCTGTTAAACAGTTTTTTTCCACTTCTCTCCTAGGAAATCTCTTTTCTCGAACCATTTGGGGGGAGGGCTGCTTGGATTTGCTTTTCTGGGGGGACTCCATTTGGATGTTTTCTCCCAAATTTGCCCTAAACCACGACATTCCCAAAGGGAGCATATGAGGAGATGCATTGGCCCATTTAACCATGTCATAATGACATTCATTATTTTAAAATTTTTAGTTAAATATGAAGCTTGAATAATTCTTGTCTTTCAAAAATACACATGGAAATAACAGTCCTCCCTCTCTCATATTTTTGAGAAATTAGTACTTCCCAATGAAACTGCTTCAGTGACACAAGATTCCTCCAGGACCAACAACACTCTGGAGAATCTTTTGTGTTCCATGGCCCAATTAGAGAAAGTAGAATTTAAATCCTTGTAAATATATGCCTTGCAACAGTAATTAAATTAAACCTGCCACTGCAAATTCTGCCTCTAAATTAATTCCAATTTTTGGAACAAATGCAACAGGTGAAGTTCAGGCACAGGGAAATAAGGGAGATAACCACTAAGCTTCCTCCTCAAGTTGGTCTGGACAAGGGCTGAATTAAGAGCTGTCCTTAACCTTGTACACAAGTCCTGAGGACTAGCAGAATTTACACAGCCTGTCCCCAGCACAGTTTCTTTTGCATTCAGCTTCAGGAGAAACATGTATATGTACTACAGAAATACATTTGGTTGTCTGAGCCACAACCAGTATTGCTTGTGTACCAAGAACATCCTACTCTTACTCTGAAGCCTTATTCCGTAATTACGGTACTGCCTGAAAAGAATGGGAGGAAAAAGAGCAAAAAATTACAAGTCCATAGTGTGTCACTAAGGGCTGAAGTGGGGAATGAAAGTGTAATGTCTCTGCAGACAATACTAAATTATTTGGGAAATGTTAAGTATAAGCAACTGCTTCCAAGCGTGATTTATTTGGGGTTTTCCTTTTTTTTCAATAATGCAGATTAATTTCCACAGTGAAATGAAGGGAATCTCCCTCCTACAATCCACCCCAAGATGAATCATACTGTGTTCTGTTGTGCTGGTAAGCTTTATTGTTTGCTGTGCCAATACAATTATTCAGGATTCTAATGGATAAGGCAGTGTACAAAGAAAATGAGGCTTGCATTGTGAAGTTCCTCCATCATAAAGCTTCAGATTAAGCAACTGGGCTTCTGGGCAATATTCATGGTGTGCACTTGCGAGCAAGGCATTCACACAGCGAGGCAGAAG